GGGTGGGGGGTGTGTGGGTGGAGAGGGGGGGGAGGGGGGGGGGGAGGAGGAGGAGGAGGAATGGAGACAGGTGATGTTGGCAAGAAGATGGTTCATTTTTCTTACTCTCGAACAGGAGGAGGAGGAGGAGGAGGAGGAGGATGAGGAAGCAGAGCTAGAACCAGGCAAGGCCAAACGCAGCCGTAAAGTTGGGGTCCTCCGTCGTCCTGGAGACCGCTGGATGCTGCGGGGCCCCATCGAGTATGTCCCTCCTGCCACAGTGGAGGTTATGCTGAAACGAACGGCAATCCCACTGGATGAGAACGAGGGAATCTACGTACGGGACATTAAAACCGGAAAGGTTTGTGAGACTGAAGACTGACCAGAGACTGAAGTCCATGATAAAAGTCAGTGATTTCAGCTCACAGGGACACAGGAGCTGTTGGTCCACTGCTGCCCCCTGTGGTTGGTTACTGTTAGGATTCCAAACTGTTAAGTTGAAAAATATTTTCAGACATTACTGTCAGACATTATCATCATATCATCAGATAAAGGTGTAAATTAGTGAAGTTAGTAATCCTGTAGCAAGTTCAAATTACAAAAATCGATTAGCAGCAAAACAGGGATGGTTGTTAAGAAGCAGAACAAATAATTCAGCAACAATTCACACTAGTAAACAAGGAAACCAAAGTATCAAACTGACATAAAAAAACAAAAACAAAAAACCTCAGTGTTCATGGTCTTTGTCAAACTGACGGTTCTGTATCAAACTGGTCTCCCTCAGGTGCGGGCCGTGATTGGACACAGCTACATGCTGACTCAGGACGAAGAGCTGTGGCAGAAGATTCTCCCGGCTCAGGTGGAGGACCTCCTGGCATCGCCCTTGGATCCACTAGCCAACCGCTCGCAACGCATTTCTGCTGTGTCGGGGGTGTCTGTCAGAGACAAGACCCGTGTGGTCTCCTTCAGGGTCCCACACAACGCCGCTGTTCAGGTGTACGACTACAGAGAGAAAAGAGCCAGGTGAGGGAGGGGCCGGTGGGGGGGGGGGGG